GTTTAGGATAGAAAATGAAGACTAGAAGCCATTCTAAAGAATACAAACTAGAGAAAAAAATTGTAGGTAGACAGAATGATTGCCACTGTGAGTTTAGCCCAGTGGAATTTTGCCCACAAAAAGACTGCAAGATTTGGTTCTACAGGATTACCTAACTGGAATGGAATTGCCAAATAGGTGCATTTGCTCAGTTCTGAGTCACATGAAAGAATGCCACTGGCTAAATTATCAACACGCTTCCTGCAATTTTGGGAAAATTGCATTCCAAATTCTAACTAGGCCTGAGATACTTGATCATCTGAGACTTGCGACTGCAGCACAAAGTGCTAGGGCTACAAATCGGTGTACATTTTTAAAATTCCTCTGAGTAGAGGTTGCGTCACTCTGTGCTTTTGTTTTCTTAGGCTGTTATTCTGCAGCTATCATTTCTGAATCTGAAATAACTGATTACACATAGTGTAAAATGACAGTTTAGTCTTTTTGTTCAGAAAGAAATGTTTTCTCTCTTCCTCTTCCTGTGAAAGTTAGTGTTACATCCTTGGGGCCAGATATTCAGGTTAACTTCAATGGAGGTACGCCTAGTCCTCTATGTACAAATATTGAAGCAGAGGATGATAACTTTTCCTCAGGCTGTTGCATAAGTCAACTAAAACAACATGACCTGTAATGGGAATCCACACAGCTTCTAACAGCCCCTACACACCAGTTCTCAGTTAGATGAGTGAAAGAAACATGGGTAGGTAAGCCTATGATATTCTTTTGTATACGAGCTACAAGCCACAGAGGATGTTCTCTTCTCTGTCTGACCTCTGCTACTCCACACCCCTGATATGCCCTGTTCTTCCCCATATACCAGTGGTGGGTTGTGGCTGGTGCAGGTTATGGCTACACTGATGGAGGGGAAATTGTCTGCTGACCATCTGCAGATACTCAGGCCATGTGACAAATTATTATTTATGATTTATAGTGCAATTGAGTCTAGAAGTCTCATAGACCAGAAACCCCTTGCCCTAGATGCTGTAGAAACAGAACAAAGGGACAATCCCTCCCTGTAAGAGCTTAAGTGTCCTATGCAGACTGAAGAATCTAGCCCATATACTCCCCAGCAATGCCACAGCTCATGAGCTCAATATGATCATTGAGATAACACAACAAAACGTTTCAACGTTGCCAGTGGTATTATTTATGTACACATGCACCACTAGAGGATGCTACAGACCCCCCTAAACAAACATACCATTCATACACACATACGCTGCCATTTAATCAACTAATCTTTTTCACAGACACACAGTGGCAGGGACAAGGAGTAAACCCCTGCTCATAAACAAGTGTTCTGCTTCTGCACTTACAAAAACCTCCACATGAACTCGGACTAGCAGAAACCCTTATGGTATGAAAAAAGAAGGAATTAACTTCAGGGTAACCAGAGAATATTGAACCGAACATGTTTATAATCAACACATCTCAATATGGCATTTGTCTTGAAACATTTATAACTGTTCCACATGGATGCAATGGGGGTTTAAAACACTTCATATGGTAGGGTCTCTCTCTCTCTTTTTTTTAAACAAAGTTTTGAGAGATTACTCTTCCTTTGAGGATTTTACTTCTTTATTGCAATACTCCCATCCTGAGACTGTGTCTTTGTGTTGGGCTTATTGCTCTGGGAATAATGAAGTAAGACCATGTTTATCTTAATTTCTCTTCGTCCAGAACTCCCTATTTTTCTGTGGTTGGGTGATATTCCCCCACATGAATCATTTTGCATTGAAAATCTTCTGTTTGTGTTAATTTTTATTTATATGGATGAGTAAGATCTCAATACCTTGTGACTCTCATACACTGATGGGGGTTTGACTTGACATTATCACCAGTGCTATACCACATATTACTCTTTATGATCCACCACCCAGATCTTGCAAAAACCGTAGTACTTAGTTGCACTAAATCCTCTTCTTCTTCTATGGCTATTCTAGAAAGAAAAGGCCTTGGGCAACCTTTATCCTCCCAGGAGCCATCCAGAATTGTGACCAAATCTTCCACTGAGTGCTAGGTGTGGGGCCTGGCTGATTTACTAGGCAGCGCTCTTAAACCCCAATAGGGCATGAATAGGTGACTTGTGTGTGTAGCCAAACACCCTGTAAACTCCTAGCACCTCATGGTATATGAAAGTAGATGACAGGAACAATGTACACTGCTCTTCTTTTAGTCCAGCCATAAGGATCATTGCTGAGTGTACTGCACCTGGGTCCCTATCCTTAAGTCATCATGCCAGTATCTAGACTAGACAGAATGGCTCAGGAATAATCTGATCCGCTACTAAATATCCAATCCCCCTAACACCTAAGCACTTCTGGCAACAAGAGCTAAAATTGAGCCCCCAAAATCTCTGAATTTTCTTGAGCAACAAATAAGCAGATGTAATATATTCATAGTCATTGGAATTAAAAAGATAACATAACATAGGTCTTCCCAGTTATTTACATAGAGACTCCATCAGCATTTCTCTCACCTAAAGAACAAGATGAGCTTGGCAAGAAATCTTCTCTACCAGAGCCAGCTGTCACCATTACTTTTGAGGCTCACTGCCATTCACGTGATGCCAAGTCTGATCATCTTTCAGAGAAAATAGGCACAGGTGAGGATGAAGAAAAGCAGCTGTTCCCTATCTCTTGGCACAAAAACTGCACTGTTGTTCCTCAAGTGTGAGAAGAAAATGGAGGCTCTCCCAATTTTTGGGGATGTCATTTATTTATTGCCTCTTTTTAAATGGCTGGAATGTTTCCAAAACTATTTATCAGTGTGGTTTTTGGCCAATGTTATTAAATGATAATTTTGCCAATTTTGGTTATTTCTCGAACACATTTTCCAACAGACTACCAAATCACTTTTCCACTCACACCACAAAAAAATCAGATTTTTTTTTTCTCCAGCACAATTTCTTTGGGGATTGCAGGGGTGAGAAAGAACAGCTAAATACAGTACATCTTCTAGAATCAGAGAATTCAGAGATTAAAAAGATCACTCAGTTCATCTTTTTGTCAATGTAAGGAAAAACCCTTCAGGTCCATGTTCTTATGTTTTGGCCAATTAAGGTTTAAAAGGTCCAAGTAACAAGGCTTCCACCACTTCTTTTGGGAGATTATTTCACAATCTAATACATCTCACTGACAGGAAGGTTGTCAGCCTACATTTTCCTTTTCTTAATATCATCCAGTTCCTTCTAGATCTATCCACAGGCATCACACAAAATAATGTATTTCTGCCTTTGGTGTTTATACCCTTCAAATATCTGTAGGCTTTTAGCATATCTCCCCACTTGTTTTCTCATAGCCAAATTACAGATACCTTTTAGAATGTGTCTTTGTAAATAAATCACTTCATCCCACCCTACCAATGATTCATCTTCCTTTGCACCTATCAGTTTGTCAGTATCCTTCTGGTAAACTAGAGCCTGAAATTCAACACTAAATATTTCAGGTTCTGTATAGAAATGAATCTTATCTTCCCAATCCATGATGTGATATCTTTACATCTGCAGCCCCAAACTACGCTGGTCTTTTTGCAGCCTTACCCCATTATTCATTTATTCCAGGGGATTTGTATTAGCTTATACTTTGTTTGTTGGGTGGTGTTTGGGATTCTTTTTGTTTGGGAGATTTTTTTGCTTAAAGCATTCAGATTTTTGGCCTGTCAAATCTCAGCATGAAATATGAATATCACAGGATGTTATTGATTCTATTTAGATGCCTTTAGCTTTATCTGTTCTTTGTTGCTCATAATTGAACTTCACAGCAAATCAGTTATGGATAGGCATAGGAAAATTTGATTTGAGAGGAGGAAGGAGTTTCACAGCAATACAGGATGCAAAGTAGGAAGAGAAGACAAGAGCTTAATGCTAGGTAGTGAAGGAGAAACATCCTGGGAAAACAAACAAAAGCACTTAATACATACATTATATTTCTTTCTAAAATCCGATTGTAAAAACATTGGAAAAAAAGGTATGATAAAAACTATAAATAAATTCTCCATTTGATGCCATGAAGCAGATTTGAAATTACACAGTTTGGTCAGTGGAAGTGGCATAGGTTCTGTAAGTGATGCAGACTTGGAAGGGGTTGAAGGTACAGATGCCATGGTTCACTGCTAATTTTTAGTGTCTATGCTGAGCAATCTATGGAATTGCACTTGCCTTTGTGTTAGAGAAAGTTCGTGTTTCTGCCATTCTCTCTCATGATAAGGTAGCATTACATTAAATTCACAATACTGCAGTGTTAGAGAAGACAGACAGAAAAGCACATCTATGATAAAGTAGTTGGGGGAGGGGGGAAAAGAACTATTTGCTGTCTAAAACAAATATGCTGTGTACCACTGGACAGGGGTTCACACTATAAACCACTGGTAGGCAAAAGGAAAGGACCATCTCTAAAACTGCAGAAACAAATGTAAAAGAAAATGTCACATAAGCTTTTAATGTGATTATTTACTCTGTGAATTCTATTAATGGTATATATTACATAATATCAGCTATTACATTTCTGTCATTCATTTGGATTATTTATACATTGCATTGAAATGTCACTTAAAATAAAGAAAAACATTATCTGTCATGCAGATATGTGAAAGCTTCAAGATGCCTATGGGATGTGACTTGTTTCTAAATAGGTCTCCGTGACTTTTATTGCGCCAGGAGTAGAAATTACAGGGTCTGTTTGATATATAATTTGCACTTCTGCTGCAAATAAGGGCTATAGTTGTCAATTATTGTAACATCTGTCTCCCACTTTCTTGCTAGTTAATACTTGCTATGTGAGAAACAAACCCAATGCTACCATTCACAACAGCAAGAACATTTATTAGAGGAACACTAGACTCTTTTTCTCTACGGATGTCTGCTAACTGTTATTTTTACAATGTTTGGAACTAGCAAACTCTAAAGAAATGCAGAAGGCATATCCTATTTAAAAGCATAAATAAAAGAAACTGAAGAGACTTACCAAACTATTCCCTGAGCACCAGAGCCAATAGGTTTTAAGTTCTGGTAGCGCTTGAGAACGGTGAAGGTTGAGTCACCTACTTCCACGCTGTAGAACTGGTTGTCAACTTTGCTTTTGCTCATGTTGTAATGTTTGGCAATATATGACACATCCACTTGTTTCCCAAATCCCTGTCATGGAGATGAGGAGTTGACAGAAAGACAAAACCAAGACCAGTAAATCATCAGCATAACAATGAAAGAGAGCCTAGTTTTCAAATATGTATTGCTGTCATTTTATGCTCATTGTCAGAGACTTGTACACCGTCAGATGATTTCTCAAAGGCTTTCAAATACAACAGTAAACTCTCCTTCACCTAGGAAACTTCCATTGCAAAGTCATGAAGCCTCCTTTAGCCAGTGTCTGTAGAACAGAAATTCCCAGCCATTGGTATATGCATGCCATTACTGGTACTTCAGGGCTTTTGCAGGAGGGTTCTATATGGTGCTTTTGGTCTGACTTTCCTCTCACACTGCAATAAACCAGGTGTAGCTGAGAACTCCTTTAACATCAGTGGACTTACATCAATGTAAAATGGTGCAAATGACATGGGAATTAAGCTCTTAAGTTTTGTAAACTGTAGCAGTTGCCTGAAAAAATAAAGGAGGGGTGCTACTACTGCAGAGCATCAGGGCAAAGCCACAAATCATTTCAGATAAGCACAAAAACAAGCCACGATTATAGGACTGATCCTGCCTGAGAGATTCTGAGCAGTTCTCACTGAGCATGGCAGTGCACTGCCCTTCTTTGGTTTAGACCCTTGTCCCAGGACCCAGACTGCACTAAGTGAAAAATATTAGTAGACATTCTGCCAATGAGGAGGATTCTGGCACTATGACTGAATTTTAAAATGATAGGGGAAATCTTAGAGACTTATCAATTTTAGCTCTGTCCTTTCTCAAACAAAAGTTTCACTGAAATAAAACTGAACCAGAGTAAAAGCAGAGTAAGCATGTCAGGATTTGGTCCTGCAACAACAGGAGGTAATTTTCAGAGGCTGGGATACAAAAGCCTCTGAAAAGCAATACAAAGTATTTTATCATAAATACACAAACATCTCCATGTATAACTAAGAACAGTAGCAAATACCAGCCAGTTTCATATCCCTAGTGGTCAGTAAGAAAATTGGAGGGTAATCTGATATAGATTTATAAGACACCTCCAATCATATAATGATGTCTTCTGACATCTTCGGGAAATGCCATCTTCTTGACCCTTTGATGATTTGAACATTACATATTTATTTTTCATTTTATCACTCCAGCATATAAATCTTTCAACTGAAAAAAAACAAGGACTCTTAAAGCCCATGATTAAAACTTGGTATATGCCTGAATGCATACACTGAATGCCAGACCCCAACTGAGTACTGTGTCCTAGACTGTATACTTTGTATTCTACACACTATAATAAAAACTCCAGATTTGAAAAAATGTGAAAGTACAGGTTCATATAGATATAAATAACTTGAATTCTGTTTCCCCTGTATTAATGAGTAAATGATCTGGGTGATCCCCCACCCCCAAAAAAAAGTCACAGGGACCAATCTCATCAGCTTCTGAACAAATAGTCAATTGGGGATTAAAATCACAGCAAAAAAGTTAGTAAAGTAAGGCCCCATCTTGCAAGATGCTGAGCACCTTTAATGCTCATTGACTTCAATGGGAACCAAAGGTGCTCCAGATCTTGCAGGATGGAGGGTTAAGTAGCTAATAGTACAGGGGCAGGCAAACTTTTTGGCCTGAGGGCCGCATCGGGTTTTGTAAATTGTATGGAGGGCCAGTTAGGGGAGGGGGTCGTGGGCCGGCCCCCCCTTCCTATCTGCCCCCCCCCCCCCGGACTCCTGTTCTGTCCAACTCCCCGTCCCCTGACTGCCCCCGGACTCCCGCCGCCCCATCCAACCCCTCCTCTCATTCCTGATGGCTCCCCCCGGGACTCCCTGTCCCATCCAACCCCTCCTCTCATTCCTGACGGCCCCCTCAGGACCCCCGCCCCATCCAACCACCCCTTCTCCCTGTCCCCTGATTGCCCAAGGAACCCCGCCCCTGACCGCCCCATCCAACCCCCACTCCTTCCTGACTCCCCCTGGGACTCCTGCCCCCATTCAACCCCATTGCCGCCTGACCACCATCCACAGCCCCGCCCCCTGACCACCACCCCGAACTCCTCTGCCCTCTATCCAACCCCCCCGCTCCCTGCCCCCTTACCGCACTGCCTGGAGCACTGGTGGCTGATGGCGCTACAGCCGCGCGCCCGGCTGGAGCCGGGCCACGCTGCCGCCACCGCCACCACATAGCTCAGAGCACCGGGTCAGGCCAGGCTCTGCAGTTGCGCTGCCCCAGGAGCTCATAGCCCCGCCGCCCAGAGCATTGTGCCAGCGGCGGGGCGAGCTGAGGCTGCAGGGGAGGAAGGACAGCAGGGGAGGGGCCGGGGGCTAGCCTCCCGGGCCGGGAGCTCGGGGACCAGGCAGGACGGTCCCGCGGGCCGGATGTGGCCCGCGGGCGGTAGTTTGCCCACCTCTGTGATAGTACATGCATGGAAGTCTAAGAAAGCTTCTCTATTGCCTTCAATGAGCATAGGAACCAGCCCCAAGTCTGTGCCTTCCACTTACTAACCACCACCCTCCCTCGTTGTCCATCATTAATTCCTTTAAATCCATCTTTAGTTAGAGAAATCTAACTGATTTCACTTATTCTATTATTAAAAACAACAGATCATAATATATTCTGTTACATAATCAAAACTTTGCTGTCACAATCAACTGTGATACATGGCCATAGAATTCAAACAGTGTGAATTTGATGGGTTGGGGCAAGGAGAAGAGTTCATTGGGAGGATTTTTTTATTTGCTTGTTTGTTTTTAAATGCCAATACTCCATAAAGTGAGCATTAAAGTTCAAAAACTGACGTTGTCAAGATCATCTCTTCTTGGTTTTGCCTTAGAATGCTTAATATTCTGTCAATTTTCTCATGAGAATGACCACTCCACTGGATAGCACTGTTTAATTATAACTAGCTCATTTAGATAATTTGTTTGAAACATTCTGATTAACATGGCTGTTCATTCAGGCAGTAAACATCATTTTCAGAGAAGCAATTAAAATATTACAGTTTGTTATGAGCCCGACAGTGCAAGGATTTTTTTTTTTTTTGGAAACACAAAAAAAAATAAGTTTTATGGACACTGACACAGTGCCAAATTCAAGCTTCAAGACAAAGTCCTGAATGACTCAAAAATACATTTGAAGAAACAGAAGAATGACACTGTGAAAGTTAAGCCTTGAACCGTCTTCCATTTTCTGTAGAGAAATATTCACATGGTGTGCTCAGTCTGGCACACCAGAACTGGAAGTGAGAGGCAAGTACCTCTAAGTAGTCAAACAGATTGCAATGTGTTTTATTCCATTATCATTTTCTGTACAGTGAGGACAAAGTTCACATTGCGAGCCTCCTACTCTCAACCCAACATTCATTATTGCACCAGAATATTAGTCACATTCTTTAGTGCTAAAAATAGATTTATAAAGAAGCTGAGAAGGTTTTGGGTTGATTTGGGCAATCTAATGACACCAACTATTGTCCTCACGTTCACTGACGACATGATGCTACACGGGTGGATATCCAGGGTGGGGAAAAGACATTGATGCAATATTCATTATGAGAAAGTTTAAAAAAAAAATCAAGATATTTAGAGCTTAAGGGTCAAATACTGTGTTGACATGCATCCTATGCAATTCCTTTTATAAGTCAGCGCACAATTGAATATTCATCAGTGTTCACTGTAGGCCTAAGCAGACTCACAAAAATAGTTAACAGCCTAGTCAGCAAGTTTGTCATTCGCTCACACTCATACAGTCTCTCAAAATACTGGAAATAAATTTAATTAGTCCATGACAGGTTACCAACCAAAAAAATTAGAGAACTTACTATGGGGGTGCATGGGCAAGATCATGATCAATACCTAGTGATTTTTGACCATGAAGCAAAGAGTTGCTTTCATATCTTATCAACATACATTTCATTTAAAAAAAAATTAAAGTTTATGCTGAGCCAAAATTCTCATTTGAGCTATTTCTTTCACATCAGGCCCCACTTAAGTCCTCAAAATTGGGTTTACTTGGGATTTAAGCAATTCATAGAACTTGTGTGGGCCTTCTACAGAGGAATAAGTGTCACCGATGTCAACAAAGCTTTTGGTGAAGCTGAAATACCGGTAAGTTTGCAGCGAAGCTGGGCCATGTTATAGTTTTGGGGTTCCAAACTAATTGTACAATTCAGGTGCCACAAAACTAAATAAAGTATTCCCTCCTTACCCTTTGAACAAAAGCCACTTTAGTTTCACACATTTCTGTCAAATGATTACTGCCAAACAATACAAAAAAGTACCTGGATAATTGCTTGGATTTTAATATGAATTCAATTTTGGTATGATTGTGCTTGCTTGTTACATACATTTGTGTGATTAAGTTTTACTGCATGAGCATTCATGGGAACTGAATTTTCAATTCGCATGTGTAAACATTCACACAGCATTTTCTTTTTCCAGTCAACTTCTGAAAACTTAATCAATTTTGGAAAAGTTAGTGAGTACTACAAGAAAAAACCCTAGTCATCATTCATTTTATTGAACTAAGTGACAAAAGGGGGGGGGGATATGAACAGAGGAAAAACAAGTTTCAAAAATTCAAAGTTTACTAAAAAAATGTTTCTATTTTGCAAAGTTCAAAATGGAATAATGTCAAATTTTCATTTTTATTTTATTTATTTGCAAAAATTTTTCTTCATTTTTTGATCAGCTCTAGACATCAGAGCTCTGGAGATTTACACCAGCTGAGGATATGACTCATTATGAACGGCAAGGGAAGAGATACACCTAAAATTTGTTTAATGCCAAAACCACGGAAATAGAGCTGTGAAGACAGTCAGTGGAAGGATTGGAGAATGAACTTGCTTCGGGCATTGCTAAATCCTAGCACATTAGAAAACACATTAGCAGCTCTTATGGAACAATTAAATGAAAAAAATCTGATAAAACACAAGCAGCAATTGCTGCTTGACACACAACTTTGACTAGCTAATTTTTTTTTTTTCAACGTGGAGGGCAAAACAGAAGGAAACACAACAGTAAACA